TGTGCCTACTGAGCACCCCCGGGGCTCCCAGTTGAGGATGGGACTCCCACCCTCCCAGGAGATGTATCCGGCCGCTGCCCTCCCTCCTCCAGCACGACGTTCCAGGGACCTTCCCAGGAGCCTGCACCCTTCCGGCCCTCTCTCGGACAGTGTGCACCCTCAATAGCCTTGTTCAGGAGCTTGCCCACCTCCCCCTGGCCGGCTTAGGACAGTCCCCTCCTAGGAGAGGGCACCGCGCACCGAGGATGAGTTGGCCGGTTCACAGTCGGTGCCCGCGGTTCACAGGCTAAGGGAGGGGAGGTTCGAGAAGGAGCAGTTCCTTTTTCCAGGGAGATCACGGGTGGAAAGACTCGTTCACTCGCTTCCTGGCCCCAGCGCCCCAGTTCCCTGTCCTTCTTACCGGTCCCCTCCCCCTCCACACCCAGAAATAGCCGGCGACACCAGAAGGCCGCGGGCTTCCCGGGGCGGGGGAGGGGTCCGCCCGCGGCTCCCGATGATTCCCTTTGGATGCTGGTCTGCAGATAGACAGGTGCTGGTAGGGCAAAGAAATAGACCCCTTGGTTCGCACGGCCCGAGCGGCAGCGTGCTCCTAGAACGTGTATATTTTTTAATGCATCTTTGGGGAAAACCGAGCCAAGCCAATAGGGACATGGGGGCACTGAGGTCGTGGAGGAAGGTGGTAGATGGCACCTCACCCTCACCGCCTCACTTAGCTCCCGCCTGAGAGGAGTTTATTGCCAAGAGACTCTTGCCCAGTCCAGGTGGGCCTGCGTTTCCTCTTACCCCACTTGGACTGGAGCACTTCCACACTGCAAGAGAGACCGGAACTTTCAGTGGGAAGTTTTAGGATGATGAGGGTGAATGTGTCCATGAATCACTGGCAGAGCTGTTTGAGACGGATGTGAGAATGTACAATTTTGGCTGGGAAGGAAGTAAAACTTACTGCCCCTGTCCGGCCACACCCCTAGCACCACCTTCCAGAAAGCCTCCTTTGCCCAAGGATGAAATTACCAAGGCAGTTACTGTCGTGGGCCTTTCTATGAGGTTGTCCATTCTGCCACCCAGACAGTACTTCTTGCTGGCCCTGTCTTCTCCTCTTCCCTCTGGCTTGAAGCCTAGGCAGCTGTGACCTTTTTCAGCTTGGCCAGCAGGCAGGAGAGGATGTGTGTGTATCTAAGGTGGGGTTATTCCAGGACCTAGTCTGGTGTCTAACCTGATGCGGGACACTCTGGCCTGGCAGGGTCATCAATGCTGGCAAGAGCAGGCACAATGAGGACCAGGCTTGCTGTGAAGTCGTGTATGTGGAAAGCCGGAGGGTTACAGAGGCCTCCAGGGAATCTACTGTTAACCAGGTAATACTCCATCGCTTCCTAACCTCCAGCAATGTGATAACACCCCTCCCCAGGGATTTTGGGCACTGGTTCTAAATCCAAGAAGTGTAGTGGTTTTACCTCCACCACAGAAGCTCTAAGTGGCTTCAGTTAGATTAGTTCTACTATGAATGTTTACTATTCTATTTATTATTCTACTTAAAATAGAGCTGCTCATGTATTTATGGATGATTTAACTAATCATCAGTGCTGATCTTTGGATCCTTCATGTTTTGAATTTGCCTCTTCTCTCTCTTTACACAGTAGGCTGTGCATGAATAAGTGAATAAACTACTTTACCTTAATGTCACACTCAGCTCACCCATGTGATGTTTATATGAGTGCTTATGGGCGCGTTCTGCCCTGTCACCCTCCTCCCACACTGACTTCCAACTTTTCCCTCACCAGGGACTCTGCTTCTACTACTGGGGCCTGTTTGATGGGCATGCTGGTGGTGGAGCAGCTGAAATGGCTTCCCGACTCCTGCATCGCCACATCCGGGAACAGCTGAAGGATCTAGTAGAAATACTTCAGGACCCCTTGCCACCTCCCCTGTGTGTCCCATCCACTCCAGGAACCCCAGGTTTCTCTGATCCCTCACACCTGGTCAGCCCTCAGTCCTGCTGGTCTCCACAGAAGGAAATAACCCACGAGAGCCTGGTAGTAGGGGCCATTGAGAATGCCTTCCAGCTCATGGTGAGTGGGTGGCCTGAGCCAATAATGTGCTATGGAGACACTCTAGTCAAAACTGTGTGGTGGGAGTCAGTGGGTGGGTGGTCCCCAGAATCCGCACCACCTCTGAGAGCCTGTTACCCTATGTGGTCCTCCTCTTGTCCACTCTGGCCTGCAGAGGCAGGTAGTAGAGCAGGTGACTGTGGTTTGGAAGTTTTTCTGTTCCCTTTGACCCTTCCTCACCTGGCAGGATGAGCAGATGGCTCCGGAGAGGCGTGGCCACCAAGTGGAGGGGGGCTGCTGTGCACTGGTTGTGGTGTACCTGCTAGGCAAGATGTATGTGGCCAATGCAGGTGACAGCAGGTGAGTGGGGAGAGGGCTTTGAGAGTGGCCATATATGGGGCCACACTCTCCAGGATGATGGGAAAGCAGAGAGTGAGGTGGCGGTGGGCGGGACGGGGTAGAGGCAGTGACAGCTATATGGCAAGGTTTGAAACATCTACAAGGGAGGGAAAGGTGGGGACCCGAGTGAAGAATCATCAGGCTCATTATGGGGAGGGCCTGGTCCTTCTGGGATGCTCCCTGGAGGGGTCTGAGAAAGCCAGATCCAAGCCTTGTCTGTCTCTGGGCAGGGCCATCATTATCCGGAATGGTGACATCATTCCAATGTCCAGGGAGTTCACACCAGAGACAGAGCGCCAGCGTCTTCAGCTGCTTGTAAGTAGGGGCCAAACTCGATACCCCAGTCTCACTCTTACACCTCTCCCTACTGAAAGCTTCCTACTGAGAACTTCCTGGGAAGGTGCTGAGTGGACTGTGGAGTACTCGGTAAGCTGGAGGGGTGAAGCAGCAGGAAGGAGCCTGAGCTGCCATTGTAGCCTCCGTTGAGGAAGGAAGTAGAGTCAGAGGTGGGGGATGAGAACAAAGACTCCATCCAGCAAGGGCTTTATCTTAATGCATCCTCATGTGGGCATCGGGATTGCCTGGGGCTGAATCCTGCTTTGTGTAAATGTGTGATGTCTGGCAAGTCCCTTATTCAATGGTTCTTGCTCAAGGGCCTTTGTAAGGGGTGAATGAATTCATTTATGTTACTATTAGTGTGTAGCCTGCAGTAAACTTAATTTAAGGATCTGCTATAACTTATCAGCTATATGTTATATCTGGGTGTGATGCGAGTGTAATGCCCTCTCTCCTGTCTGGCTCTTGCCCCTCCCAACCTCAGGGCTTCCTGAAACCAGAACTGCTAGGCAGTGAGTTCACTCACCTCGAGTTCCCCAGAAGAGTTCAGCCCAAGGAACTCGGGCAGAGGATGCTGTACAGAGACCAGAATATGACTGGCTGGTAACACTTCCCTCAGAGCTGGGCCATGCCCATGGCAATGCAACCAATCCTTCACAAGCAGCAAGGTGGCAGCTGCAGGCTGGGTCAGGCTGGGAGATGGGGAATATGGTCATCCCTGGAAGGCCTTATGTGGGGGTGTGCTGTTCGTAGGGGATAAGGGCTTTGCCACCTGGGTGATGCCTCCTCTACTCCTCCCTCCCCAGGGCCTACAAAAAGATTGAGCTGGAGGATCTCAGGTTTCCTCTGGTCTGTGGGGAGGGCAAGAAGGTAAACCCTGTGGCAGAGGTGGGAGAGGGCAGGAAGACCCACCACAGCTTGTTGAGGGAGGTGGAGGTTTCACTGAACAGGAGGTATGGGAGGGTTCTGTGGTTTCGGTGAGTCTAAGAAGGGAACTAAATAGCATCGTTCTTTCTCCTTCCCTCAGGCCCGGGTAATGGCCACCATTGGGGTGACCCGAGGCTTGGGAGACCACAACCTTAAGGTCTGCAGTTCCACTCTGCCCATAAAGCCCTTCCTCTCCTGCTTCCCAGAGGTGAGCACACCTTTCCTTCAGGAGGCTCAGGCTGGCTTTTACCCTTTTATCGCCAACCTCCCTGTCCAGCAACCCTCACACCTTAGTCCTTGCTTCTGTCTTTCCCTACCAGGTGCGAGTGTATGACCTGACACAGTATGAGCATTGTCCAGATGATGTGCTAGTCCTGGGAACAGATGGCTTGTGGGATGTGACCAATGACTGTGAGGTAGCCGCCACTGTGGACAGGGTGCTGTCAGCCTATGAGCCCAATGATCCCAGCAGGTAGGGGGTTGCCTGGCAAGGTGTTGGGGGGTAGCACTACTGAAAGAAGGGCGAAGGGGAACCAAGCCTGGAGACCCATGTGTGGGCCTGTATATCTGTCTTCTCATATACATGTGGGTACATGAATGTGCACATGTGCTCCTGGCAGGTATACAGCTCTGGCCCAAGCTCTGGTCCTGGGGGCCCGGGGCATCCCCCGGGACCGTGGCTGGCGTCTCCCCAACAACAAGCTGGGTTCCGGGGATGACATCTCGGTCTTCGTCATCCCCCTGGGAGGGCCAGGCAGTTACTCCTGATGGGCTCTGCCCCAACCCTCTCACTGCCATCTCTGCTTCTCCATACTTCCCCTTCTCCCAGTCCAAATACTGAAGTTGTGTCCCCGACTCGAGTGGCCATTTAATTGACAAAGGGATGCCCACCAGATACAGAATTTCAGCAACTGACAAATAAACCAGATGGATAAAGGTGTGTGTCGTTATTTGCTTTGACTGGAGCCTGAAAAGCAGGTCATCAATGGAAAGAACATCAGAACATTACTAAAAATGTGGCTTCCCCGGAGTCTTCTCTGCCCCCTTTGCCCACTCCATGTACTTGCCACCATGTACTTGCCTCATCCGTCTGTGGCTTCTTCCATCTGCTAATACAGCCAAGTCTGTGTGTCTAGCCCAAACCTTGGCCAAGCTTTAGACCCATGTATTCCAGTCATCACCCAACCATCTCCTCTATAGTACTCTGGTGCTTCCAATCAACACACCTTGAACTGAATGCACAATTTCCCCCATGAACGATTCTTCTCCCGATTCATCTTATGGGCACCATCATGGCTGCTAAAGCCAGTAATCCAGTAGGTGCTCACACCTGGCTTATGTATCTTCATTACCATTCTCAACTGCTTCAGTCGTGCAGGCCATGTAATGTTTCAGGAAATCAGCTGCCTATACGATGGTATATGCAATGTAACCCAGCTGTGTCCTAGGCTGTGCCATCTCAGTTTGTGTAAGTACACATTGCTATTCACACAATGATGAAATTCCCTAGCAACACATTCTCATAACATCTCTAACATCGAGGGATGCATGACTCTGCTGTTGACTACTTAGAAATATTTCATATTTGCCTTTATCTCTGCCTCCATCATCACCGTCACATTAGCTCTTTATTACACCAAGTTCCCAACTTCAGGGACTCCTTATTGTGTCTAGAACAAACTGAAGTTAAAGTCTTGAGCATGGCATTTAAGGACCTTCATAATATGGTCTGGCTACTGTTTCTTTCTCCAGCTTCACCAATCCCCTCCAAACTCTTAAGGGCTTGTTAGAGCTCCAACTTATTTTAAATCTCATATTACCATTTCTCGGCTATTTCACTGTCCTCCAGGACTGGGTATCCCACAGTCCCTGTATGCTGCTAAGGCATTTCCTCCAGGATTTTAACTATCCACAGGAGGAGCCAATGGAGGGTAGCTATGAAGAGCAGGGATTCTTAAGTCTGACTGTTTTGACCCAACATCACAGTAACTTCTGTGAGCCTCCATGTCTCAGTAAAATGTAGATAACAGTAGTGCCTCATAAGAACTAGACATAAGTAAGGGCCATGTGATAAAGCTTCAATAAATGTTAGCTATGTTAGGTTGCCTATGTTCTTCATTTAGACTCTTATTTGAAGGCAGAAGTTCATGGTTAGCATACAGCCTTCAGTTCATAGATAACCAGTGCTTACTGAGTGAATTAAGAGGCCTGGTGGCCAAATTGCCTTTCACCACCTCAGTTACCTGATTTTCCAAATGTGTGGTTTGTGCTTCAGATCCTGAGCAAATGTCTGTGTATGTGTCTACCTGTGTTTGAGATAACTTTGGCACTCACTCTGTAGACCAGGCTGGCCTCAAACTCATAATGATCCAAGTGCTGGGATTAAAGGCGTGTGCCACCAACGCCCGCTTTGTTAATTTTTTGAGACAGGGTTTCTCTGTGTAGCTCAGCTGTCCTGGAGCACACGTTGTAGACTTGGCTGACCTCGAACTCAGAAAGATCCACTTGCCTCTGCTTCCCTAGCGCTGGGATTAAAGGTGTGCACCACCACCACCCAGCATTTTTTTTTTTAAATTTATTATGTATAGTGTTCTGTCCGCATGTATGCCTGCCACCAGAAGAGTGCATCAGATCTCATTCTAGATGGTTGTGAGCCACCATGTGGTTGCTGAGAATTGAACTCAGGACCTTTGGAGGAACAGCCAGGACTCTCAACCTCTGAGCCTGATTGATTGATTTTTGAGACAGGGTCTCATGTAGCCAAGATTGGTCTGGAACTAATTCAAAGAGATTCACCTACCTCTACTCCCTATGCATCATCATGGTTCACCTCACTGTAAATTTTTGCTGTCACAAATGGTTTGCAAAACCACTTCCCTGGGCCTCGGTTTCTTTCCAGGCAAAAGGGAATGGGTGAACTTATTCCAGAGACCTTCGTGTTTAAAGTATCAATCACTAGCAAATAAAATATTAGACTTCCTCAAACACTCACCTCCTGGGCCCTTTATAAGGAAGGAGTAAGTAACTATGAAACACACCAGACTGGGCTCAACAGCACAATAAAATAGGAGTATGAGCTCAGTTCCAGTTGGCCACGCGGAAGCACTTCCAGGAGTGTGCTCTTAACAGGACGTAGGGAAATTCCCGGCCAAGGAAGGAAGGGCCTTGTAAGGCGACGGTGGCTGGGGACTGCAGATCGCAAAAGGCCTCCAAGGCTCGGGAAAGCGTCGTGTTACACTTAACGCAGTGATTCCTGGAGCAGAGTGGGCAGCTTCGGCAAAACCGGTGCCCTCGGTCACAGCTAGGGCGAAGGAGGGGCAGAAACCTCGAGGGCTGCTTGGCCACGCGAGGGCAGCAGCGGCCCTCGCTGGCCCCACCCTGGGAGCCGCTCAACTTTCCCTACTTGGTTCCGCCCCCCACCGTAGGAGGCTT